GCCAAGACTATTGTCTAACATTGCAAGACTATTATCTAACATTGCAAGACCATTGTCTAACATGCCAAGACCATTGTCTAACATGCCAAGACCATTGTCTAACATGCCAAGACCATTGCCGAATATGCCAAGACCATTATCTAACATTCCAAGACTATTGTCTAACATGCCAAGACCATTATCTTACTTTGCAAGACCATTGTCTATCATGCCAAGACTATTGTCTAACATGCCAAGACCATTGTCTAACATGCCAAGACCATTGTCTAACATGCCAAGACTATTGTCTAACATGCCAAGACTATTGTCTAACATGCCAAGACCATTGTCTAACATGCCAAGACCATTGTCTAACATGCCAAGACCATTGTCTAGCATAGGGTATGCATGTATGTGACATGACACAGCCAGACAGAATGGAGACTGTGAACCTGATTTTTTCTGAATATATTTTTCAAAACATTCCATGTTCTTGATTTCGAGTAATACTTGAAAATGACATTGACATCCGACATGTGGTTTGTAAATGTCATTCGAATTTTTCATAGAATAACACATTCATCAAATTGACCAGGGTATGTTTCCCAGAAACAGGGTGAAACAAACCTCTCTGACATGTCAGAAATGAACACCCGCGTTGTTCGGCTTGGCATGTGCAGGAACAATAAATGAGAAGTCAACAAGCGTGATATCAACGAACATTGTTTGTGTACCTATCGTGTTGGTCATGGTATCCAGCTTCCTGCTTCACAGCTGGTGTCAAGATGCAAGGAACCCCACGAAGTTACTTGAAAGGCTGGTTTGTGGATGCCCTTTGTACTCCTATATAAACTGCAGGGCAAACGCAGGGTGTATACATTTGACAATTGGATTTGACCTACAAATTACGAACGTTATTAAGATATTGATAGGCTGAAAACAATCGCCGAAACACTGCAAACTTAAGGTTTAAACACAACTAAGGTACCCGTATTAAATACATCACCATCGAATAACCATTTTTTGTTTGCTTTATTTCAGCCAGCATCAAACATGGATGTATACTTTCTTTTACCAGACAGATTCCTAGAGCCGCTATTCTCTTAGTATTTGAAGACGACGGAGAGAGTTATAATTCGCCCACTATACAAATGAGATCATAACTTCACCCATTACAATATATACAACAAACGTTGACATTCAGCATTTCAGGAAGCAGCAGGAACATCAATAATAATGATCATCATCATCATCATCATCATCATCACCATCATCATAACTGTATTGGAAACTGTTTCCTTGAATCCAAACACCATCACTTTAAATTCTCTTGTGGATACAGGGGATGTTTTGCCTTGGTTGTGCAAAGGTGGAACAATACTACTCCCAAAGACAGGTGATTTGACTGGATAAAGTCGGCTAGCCTGAAAAGTGAAACAGAAGGCTTTGCTGCTCAGAACCAGTCACTTTTGCATCAAAATGTAAATTATGAAATGTAGATTATGCAATAAATGTGATGAGGCTGTCGAACACATTGTGAGTGGATGTCCAGCTTTGGCACAAACACAGTAACTTCAGCGACATGATGGTGTGACTCGATCGTTGTATTACCCTCTTCGCAATGCTTGTGTGTTTTGACTAATGTGATTGAGAAGATTCAGGCAAAACATGGCAAATATGCAGACCTCACTTTCGAAATGTCAGGCTTGCATTCCAAGTACCACGTTGTCCGACCCCCATTATTCTCGGTGCCTTAGGTTTGGTACATCCCAATTTGTTGACTGACAACGGGAGAGTACCCGGGTTTGCTACCAGGAATACAGCCCTTCTGACAATCTGGGTAATACAGAAGGCTTCAGTGTTGGGGAGGCTTCACATTCTCCGAAAAGTTCTTGGTGGGTTTGACTTGACAGCGCTTCCTGGGAGAAGTCCCATTCATTGTCTTGGCTGCGTGTAGGTCCCTGAGCTGATGATTAGCCTAACAAGCCCGACTGTGCCAGGATCGCCCAAACCCTTTTTGCTGTATTTTTATTTTAATCAGTAATGTGGAATATCCCATAGACAATCAGAACGTTAGACGAATAAGCCTTCACACTTCATCTCAGTGTATATCTAGAGTCAGAAAACTGAGTAGTTGCCAGGGGATGTCAGCGCCGAATAAATCGGAAGCATCCAAAGCTGCATGGTCAAGTTCTATGAGTGAGTGAGTTTGTTTTACACCAATTTTATCAATATTCCAGTGCTCGTGGGTTTCACCAACGTGGTAAACGTCACTTTGGGATTTCCGACCAAACTAAGCTGACATGCTGTGATGTAACTGGAATACTGTTCAAAGCAGCGTTAAACCTCCTTCACTCACTCATTCACTCACTCACTCTACATCATATGTGTGTGTGTATTGGCTAATTTTCACAATCCCACTGGTAGCTGAATATGAGGTAGTGACTGAAAACTGTCCAGAACATCATGTGGGAAGCCAATGTATGGTCCCCATGATACCCAGTTAGCTGCCTTAGGTTTGGTTCCCCGGGGTCTGTAACCCATCTTTCTGACAGATAATATATATTGTTCATAAAATATGTTTCATTCTTGAACTAGTATGTTATAGTAACAATTAATACTGCCATTTTTTGACAGTGTGTAATAATATGGAACTTGTTTCGATTGTTATACGGCTGAATATTGTCAATGTGATGGAAAACTAACGCGCAACAGGTATCGCGAGGCGGAATAGATATTTAACGGCCGCTTCAAATTTGAGAACACAAGTTTCAGCACAAAAACATGTACTTACTCCAAAGGCTAAAGAGTACCCGATTCTTTCATATCACTATAGTTACTCTGTCAGTACTAACAACTCAAGAGGCTAAAGAGTACCCGATTCTTTCATATCACTATAGTTACTCTGTCAGTACTAACAACTCAAGAGGCTAAAGAGTACCCGGTTCTTTCATATCACTATAGTTACTCTGTCAGTACTAACAACTCCAGAGGCTAAAGAGTACCCAATTCTTTCATATCACTATAGTTACTCTGTTAGTACTAACAACTCCAGAGGCTAAAGAGTACCCGATTCTTTCATATCACTATAGTTACTCTGTCAGTACTAACAACTCCAGAGGCTAAAGAGTACCCGATTCTTTCATATCACTATAGTTACTCTATCAGTACTTACAACTCCAGAGGCTAAAGAGTACCCGATTCTTTCATATCACTATAGTTACTCTGTCAGTACTTACAACTCCAGAGGCTAAAGAGTACCCGATTCTTTCATATCACTATAGTTACTCTATCAGTACTTACAACTCCAGAGGCTAAAGAGTACCCGGTTCTTTCATATCACTATAGTTACTCTGTCAGTACTTACAACTCAAAAGGGTAAAGAGTACCCGATTCTTTCATATCACTATAGTTACTCTATCAGTACTTACAACTCCAGAGGCTAAAGAGTACCAGATTCTTTCATATCACTATAGTTACTCTATCAGTACTTACAACTCCAGAGGCTAAAGAGTACCAGATTCTTTCATATCACCATAGTTACTCTATCAGTACTTACAACTCAAAAGGGTAAAGAGTACCCGATTCTTTCATATCACTATAGTTACTCTGTCAGTACTTACAACTCAAAAGGGTAAAGAGTACCCGATTCTTTCATATCACTATAGTTACTCTGTCAGTACTAACAACTCAAAAGGGTAAAGAGTACCCGATTCTTTCATATCACTATAGTTACTCTGTCAGTACTTACAACTCCAGAGGCTAAAGAGTACCAGATTCTTTCATATCACTGTAGTTACTCTATCAGTACTTACAACTCCAGAGGCTAAAGAGTACCAGATTCTTTCATATCACTGTAGTTACTCTATCAGTACTTACAACTCCAGAGGCTAAAGTGTACCCGATTCTTTCATATCACTATAGTTACTCTGTCAGTACTTACAACTCAAGAGGCTAAAGAGTACTCGATTCTTTCATATCACTATAGTTGCTCTGTCAGTACTTACAACTCAAAAGGGTAAAGAGTACCCGATTCTTTCATATCACTGTCAGAACTCGGGCGGTCGGGTAGCCCAATGGTTAAAGCGTTCTCTCGTCACGCCGACGACCCGGGTTCGATTCCCAACATGGGTACAATGTGTCAAGCCCACATCTGGTGTCCCCCGCCGTGATATTGCTGGAATAATTGCTAAAAGCGGCGTAAAACCTCACTCACTCACTCACTCACTCACTACTGTCAGAACTTACAACTCCAGAGGCTAAAGTGTACCCGATTCTTTCATATCACTATGGTTACTCTGTCAGAACTTACAACTCCAGAGGCTAAAGAGTACCCGATTCTTTCATATCACTATAGTTACTCTGTCAGAACTTACAACTCCAGAGGCTAAAGAGTACCCGATTCTTTCATATCACTATGGTTACTCTGTCAGAACTTACAACTCAAGAGGCTAAAGAGTACCAGATTCTTTCATATCACTAGAGTTACTCTGTCAGAACTTACAACTCCAGAGGCTAAAGAGTACCCGGTTCTTTCATATCACTATAGTTACTTTGTCAGTACTTACAACTCCAGAGGCTAAAGAGTACCCGGTTCTTTCATATCACTATAGTTACTCTGTCAGTACTAACAACTCAAAAGGGTAAAGAGTACCCGATTCTTTCATATCACTATAGTTACTCTGTCAGAACTTACAACTCAAGAGGCTAAAGAGTACCAGATTCTTTCATATCACTGTCCATGACAGATTAGCTGTAGTAATATGAAGGTAACGTTGGTGTTCTTTGTTTCCATGACAGATTAGCTGTAGTAATATGAAAGAATCGGTAGATCTTTAACTTCGTTTGAATGGTATATTTCTGTCTGACAATGGCTTTATGGATTCTTGTCAGACCATAGTTCCCCAGCCATATCTTAAAACCCAAAGAATCATGGTTACACTCTAGGATTTGGTTGACTATATGCCATCGTATCCGATGTCGTAGGCTGATGATCATGGTGGCCCATACTCTGTTTACAGGTCACCGCCATACAAATGGAAATGGAAGATTGCGGCGGTGTAGTAGATGTTAAAGCGCTCGCTCTTGAAGCAGACAACCCACGGTACGATGGGGAATCAGACAACTTAGTACTTGGGATGCAAGCGTGACATTTCGAAGGTGAGGTCCGCATGTTTGCCATGCATTTCCTGAATATGTCAATCACATTAGTGTCAAAAGGGCCTTTTCCAAAGAATTTTGTATTCATTATTTTCCATGACGCCCTCAACATATTCTTCATGTTGTTCATATTATTATTCATATTAGTATTATTATTACGGTCGAACAGTTGATTCTACTTTAACCACAGTTTTCTGATAAAGATGGAGAATGTTCTGTGGCATTTATTCACTACTTTGTCAATGACAGATAAAACATTACCTGCCCATGGGCGATTATCAACACCATCATAGAAATAACATGCTGTGCAATTATTTAAGTGTCAAAGGTAGGCTTGTTTGGCTGGAGGGGTAGTATGATATCATCTGAAGGAGTCTAGACGTCTAGAGTGCCCCTAGTTTTCTTCTCAACGTGGTACCTTCAGTACGCAGTTAATGAGAGTTGCTTCTTAACCCTACAACTTACGTCTGGCCAAGAGCGATTAATTCCCTGCCATTGTCTCCCATCCCGACAAACAGCGAATGAACTTTTGAGGACTAGACTTCACAGTATTGTGATTGTAAAAGGTCATAGGATCATTGAACACTTGCCTCGATCAATTGCATTCATTACCTCCAAGGATAATTTAAACTATAGTTTCTTTGAAAGAAGAGTTAAACAAGTAAAACTAGAAGTCCTCATTTTAGACATGTTACATTCGGCAGAAACCTGGGAGTGTGGGTTCGAATCCCGGATAACCACGATATGGTTGTAGGTTTGTCAGCATCCGACCCGTGCTTGTGGGTTTCACCAAAGTGGTGAATGTCTAAGACCTGCATCGTTTCGTGCTTTCCTCCACTGAAGCTGAACCGCCATGATTTTACTGGAATATTGTTCAAAGCTGCATTAAACCCAACTCACTCACTCACTCAGTTGAACACTCATTGAATACCCATTCAACATTATCGTCAATACCTCACGGAGTTGAATACCGTCTTCCATCAGAAAAAAGGACTGTTGACCGTTGTGGTATCCGATGGGCCATGAACACCTCCATCGCTCCCGTAGGGATTCCGGGTAAGAATATAGGTCCCCAGCACCATACGCTTGTCGTTAGAGGTGACTACATGGACAGGGTGGTTATCTGTATGCCATCGTATCCCAAATACGAGGAACGATGCTCATGTTGTCAGTCACTGGATTGTCGGGTCCAGACTCGATTGTTTATAGACCGCTGTCATATGTAGCTGGGATTGTTCTAAAAGTGTGAAAGCGTTAAACAACAAACAATTAATCAGATCGATCAAAACACAAAGATAGCCAACACATATTGAACAGAGTAGAAGAAAAAAATATTTCAAATTCAAAATAATGTTTTGAAATTGCTATTATCTATACAGTAAGATGTATTTTTAGGCATTAATACCAGTGTAGGATAACCAGGAGACGGAACTATCCAGGTTCTTATATTTCGACCATCGGCGTTAGCTGTACCTACAATGTCTGCCAATGAGTGTAGGTTCCAGAAAGGTTCACTCAACTAGAGCTGATTTGACCTCCGTCCGTTGCACATGGTCACATATCATTATTTGACTAAAATTAGAAATCGTCACCACAACGATCCATCCTTTGTGTTGTGTAAGTCATTGAATTGTATACGATACAATTAGTTCGCTACAGTGCAAGGTTTTAGTGCATGCATGTGTTTGTTTGGTTCTTGTTTAACGCCGCACTATTCCAGCTATATGACGACGGTCTGTAAATAATTGACCAGAAAATCCAGTGATTGACATCATCAGCATCGATCTACGCAATTGGGATTCGATGACAAGCATCAATCCAGTCAGCCAAATTGACCACCCGATCAATCAAACACAACGTTAAATGACACAATGTATTGAGGCCGTCTCGTGGTTTCCTTCAGAGAAAGGATCAGAGGCCGTTACAATACTGAAACACTGACAACATGAGATAATCAAACACAACGCTGTACCGGTTCGAATCTCATTCCATGTGTTTGGAGGTCGACTTGAGCACAAAAAAACACATCTTTTCTGATTTCGAGTTGAAGTTGATTATTCTTATGATCAGCATATGTTTGGCCTAAATTATTTTGCAAATGTACAAACATGTAATAGAAATATTTATTCACAGCATAAAAAAACACAATTTGCATCTTGGCTTCATCGGTATTAGCTCATCATTTAAACACAAGAAGCCATAAAAAATGACAAGCGCAAAGCATTATAAAAATGAAAACGGTCAAGCCAAATACATTTGTGAACTCTGTACAAATGTATAGACAGATGTAATGTATTTTTGTTGCATGGCGACCTTCTTTTCTAGTAGTTACTAGTGTAGTGAAACATTGACTGTACAGTGCACGCACATCGCGTTAGTTCCCACGACTGATCAGTACAATGACGATGACGTTCACAGCACTCCCCATGACGTCAGCACCACCCTGGCGTCCATGTGTTGTTGTATCTCTTGGGGTCCCCTTTTGGGTCAGGGTGGTCAGGGTAGTTGGCTGGAACCATATGTCTCTTATATTCAAGAAGGCGCTCTCGTAGCTTAGCAACCATTTCTGGCATGGCTTCTGCAAGATCATGTTTTTCCAGGGGATCATCTGAGAAAGTGAAAACGAAACGGCTCTATAGGTCAACTGGTTTAAATACATTAACAGAGAAACGCTGAAATTTTTATGTAAATCGTCAATGTCAATTAACAAACAGATTCCTTTGGGCATAAAAGACAATTGTACTGAAAATTATATTAAAGGATCACTGAAAATCAATGATGACACCAGGCATTCGTGGAAGGGTGAGCATGTCCTGCTCTCCCAGAAGAACCCGCCACTCACACAATTTGCATAAATGAAAAATAATGATCACGAATAGCTTCTTATGTTCTTTGACAAATCATTTATCAGTTATGTCTTATAATGACTGGTAAGCTTCAATATAATGACAGATCACATACCAAATCATACGAGATTCATTGTGATCACAGACACTGACATTCTAAGCTCAACCAATCAACATGGTTTATTCTTGACATTGTATTTTTAGGCCATAGAAACGCTTGTACTAGTCTGGATCTGTGCCAGTATGATAGCGCTACTCCACTGAGATACCAGTCCTTGTGTTATCCCTTCAGGGACCGCCCCCGTGCTTGGGTGGTAGAGCGTCCGCCCAGAGAGCTAAAGGTCCGGGGTTCGATCCCTGACCGTCATACCAAAAGACGTTAAAAGATGGTACTTGTTGTTACCCTGTCTGGCGCTCGGCTAAAACAAGGACTGGTCGGCTCGGAGTCAGTATACTGTGTCTGAGTGTGGTGTTCATGTTAAACTGCGGCATGGTATCGCAGTGAGCTAGCACTATAAATCGGCTTCAGTCCGGACTAGTACACACACATGCGTGCATGCACGTCGCTATATAAGTTCAATAATCTTGTACACGGCTTTAAACCCAATTTCACCTCACCTCATGCCTTTATGCCAAGCGCCAAACGTTGTTTGGTTAACGCGGACGGCATTGAAACACCTTTCGCTGTCGGAGCAGCACAGACAGATTGTAGTTTACACATACACTTACAGAGCTGTTACACACACCGCCAATCCCACGTGTTTCGTCAGAACATTCATAGGGGATACGGACCCTTGGAGATACGGGGTAGAATATGATGACAGCAACCCATGCTTGCTGTGAAAGGCGACTAAGCGTGTCGTAAGAGGCGACTAACAGGATCGGGTGGTCAGGCTCGCTGACCTGGTTGATGCATGTCATCGTATCCCAATTGCGTGGATCGATGCTCATGAAATCAATCACTGGATTTTCTGATCCAGACTTGATTATTTACAGACCGTCTTCATATAGCTGGAATATTGCTGAGTGCAGCGATAAACAACAAATAAACAAACAAATAAACAGAGGATACGATTTTTAAATGTCTATTTAAGTGGAAATATGTACTAAGAGGTGTTTCACTATTCTAGGTTTAAATATGAACAAAATATTAAACATTGTATTGTTCTTTCGGTTTACTTCAGGGATGTCAAGCGACATAGGTTACGTTGGTGTGTTATTCATATTTCAGTTTTTCACTCCATTGGTGATTTGTGCTTTGTATCGTACTTTACAAATTGGTTCAACATTTGGACTCCGATCTGTGTACCTTTGAGGTTGAACAAGTGTGTCTCCTTTCCCTGAGGGTCGTACAGGTGCTTCTCGTATATGTCATCCTTGGTGTTGTTCATGGGACGATGCCATCCATCCTGAGTTCCGGGGTATCCCAGCAACAGCTTATAGTCCCCCATCCTGCAAAGACACGGATATTGAGGCTGCTTGTTTCCCTCTGTGCGCGCTCATGATAAAAGATGGCATCGCCGTTGATATGAAAGCGAAAGGTGTGATAATTGCGTTAATTCTCATAACCTAACAACCACTAGAGGCCAGTTTCACAGCTGTTGTGTTTCATACATCCAATCATTACATGTTAATTGTAATCTGTACAAATGTTATTGGCAGCGTTAACCGATGATGAGGCCTAACAGCATCCCTAAATGGAATATGGTGTTTAAAAGGTAACAGATGAGGTGAGATGAATTGGGGTTCGCGTTCACTCCTACAGCTACTTAACAATATTAGGGGTGGTCGGGTAGCCTAGTGGTTAAAGCGTTCGCTCATCACGCCGAAGGCATGGGTTCGATTCCCAACATGGGTACAATGTGTGAAGCCCATTTTTGGTGTCCCCCGCCGTGATATTACTGGAATATTGCATGGGTTCAATTCCCAATGACAGAACAGAAACACCGGTCAAAGTGGCATTAAACCAAACTCACTCACTCACCCACTCACCTTATGCCTGCTTGCCCTTGTAGTGGTATGACGTAGTCGTCTAGATTGTAGATGAACTCTGACCTCTTTGAGGGTCCTCCTGTGCTAACAGCTTGCCACTGATCAATCCCATCGATACCCTTTACTTTATAGGAAAAGATCAAATAAATAAGACATAATAAAAATATAATTATTTCACGTCATCTCTGATCTTTTGTACCCTTTACTTTATAGGAAAAGATAAAATAAATAAGACATAATAAAAATATAATTATTTCACGTCATCTGTGATCTTTTGTACCCTTTACTTTATAGGAAAAGATCAAATAAATAAGACATAATAAAAATATAATTATTTCACGTCATCTCTGATCTTTTGTACCCTTTACTTTATAGGAAAAGATCAAATAAATAAGACATAATAAAAATATAATTATTTCACGTCATCTCTGATCTTTTGTACCCTTTACTTTATAGGAAAAGATCAAATAAATAAGACATAATAAAAATATAATTATTTCACGTCATCTCTGATCTTTTGTACCCTTTACTTTATAGGAAAAGATCAAATAAATAAGACATAATAAAAATATAATTATTTCACGTCATCTCTGATCTTTTGTACCCTTTACTTTATAGGAAAAGATCAAATAAATAAGACATAATAAAAATATAATTATTTCACGTCATCTCTGATCTTTTGTACCCTTTACTTTATAGGAAAAGATCAAATAAATAAGACATAATAAAAATATAATTATTTCACGTCATCTGTGATCTTTTGTACCCTTTACTTTATAGGAAAAGATCAAATAAATAAGACATAATAAAAATATAATTATTTCACGTCATCTCTGATCTTTTGTACCCTTTACTTTATAGGAAAAGATCAAATAAATAAGACATAATAAAAATATAATTATTTCACGTCATCTGTGATCTTTTGTACCCTTTACTTTATAGGAAAAGATCAAATAAATAAGACATAATAAAAACATAATTATTTCACGTCATCTCTGATCTTTTGTACCCTTTACTTTATAGGAAAAGATCAAATAAATAAGACATAATAAAAATATAATTATTTCACGTCATCTGTGATCTTTTGTACCCTTTACTTTATAGGAAAAGATCAAATAAATAAGACATAATAAAAATATAATTATTTCACGTCATCTGTGATCTTTTGTACCCTTTACTTTATAGGAAAAGATCAAATAAATAAGACATAATAAAAATATAATTATTTCACGTCATCTGTGATCTTTTGTACCCTTTACTTTATAGGAAAAGCTAAAATAAATAAGAGACATTACAAATATAATTATTTCACGTCATCACTGATCTTTTGTAGTCATGTTAAATTCCATACACTGGACTAAAGATATATTTTACAAACGCTTCAACAAGGGAGGTAATTGTCTGGTCGAGACTCGATTATTTATAGACCGCCATTATAAAGCTTGGAATATTGCTGGATGCGGCGTAAAACAAACCAAACCTAATTGAAATCCTCATTGATTGTTTATAAATAAGATGAGGGGAGGGACACTGGTGCCCCCCGGTCGTCAAAAGCTGAGCATAGTTGCGTTCCTTGCATGGTCGCGTCAGAAACTTCGTGGGTTCGAAACCAATATTCGCCGTCATAATGATTCTCAGTTTATCAACGCCATGCCATAAGTTGGTTTCACTGAAGTGTCTACAACACCAGCGCCACTTCGGGTTTTCCTCCCACATTTAGCTCACGCTCACATCCTGTGCAAATCACTTACGCACATTATGATGTGTTTCTCATGATTCGCCCTGATTATGTGTTAGTTGATGTTTTTCAGTACCATACCAGTGCAAGGTTGGAACAGTAATTCACTTATATCACGGCGTGTCAGCTTACTGTTGGAGGAGGGGGCACGGTGACCCAGTCGTCTCAGGCGCCGCAATTCGCTGTGCAGAGTTGCGTCCCTTGGGCAAACCAGAAACTTATGATTGTGGGTTCGAATCCCTATTCGCCCCGATTATGTTTCAAGGTTTGTCGGCACCATACCTGTGCTCGTGGGTTTCACCGAAGTGGTAAACGTCTAAGACCTGCATCACTTTCCTTCCACATTCAGTTGACACGCCGTGAGAAAACTGGAATACTGTTAAAAGCGGTGTACAACCCAACTAACTCACTATTATTGAAGGAAAGCACGAAGTGATACAGTTCAAAGACGTTTATAGATTTGGTGAACCCAACAAGCACAGCACGGGTATGATGCTGAAAATACAGCGGCTTTAAACAACATTGTGTCAGTTATATCACCAAGTGTCTGTTTGATGAAACAACAAAGCCCAAAGCGATAAAGGTCAAGTTTACCACTTTGGTACAAAATATGTTCCCTCACCTGGGGTCCCCCCTGCAGCAGAGATGAGAGTCGGCATCCAGTCCACTGCATGGATCATTCTGTGAGCAGGGACAATAATACCAGCATGATGACGATGTTAGAGAATAGCATAGGAGCTAAGAGGAATTCCTCTCCCGAGTGAATGAGTTCATTTGGAACCTTTAATGCAAACTATCATTATATATGTTCGTTTTACGATCACAAGTAGGTCAGCTGAGTCAATTTATTATTTAGTGATGAAAAATATGATGCGATACATGTACCGTTTTTATCCGAAAATATATGATGAGATACTGTTTTTATCCGAAAATATGTGATGAGATAGTGTTTTTATCTGAAAATATGTGATGAGATACTGTTTGTATTTGAAAATATGTGATGAGATACTGTTTTTATCAGAAAATATGTGATGAGATACTGTTTTTATCAGAAAATATGTGATGACATACTGTTTTTATCTGAACACATTTGATACTTTTTTATCTGCAAATATAACATGAAGTACTGTTTTTATCTGAACATATATATGATGAGATACTGTTTTCATCTGAACATATAATATATGATGAAATACTGTTTTTATCTTTCGTGTGAAATAACACTTTATGTTGGAAATTATTCCAGAGAACGAGCGTGACGATGTACGGGAAAAGGCATAATAAATGAACACTTGTCGCTACTGGACCAATAATATGTTTATCTTGTGACCTGATAAAGTTGTCATTTGGAAATGAATGAATGCTACACATGTTACTTGACAAGCAAGTCATCTAAGTTGGAACTACGTCACATGAAACTGGCATGGACAATATTAGATTTATTCTGATCGACTCTCCCTCTGATGCTCAGCATTCGACTGAGAATCAAACAAAACAATAAAAACAGCCCAACATCAATACTACAAACAGTCCATCTCACCCGTTATAGGTGTAGCCAGTCTTCTTGAGCCCCGCCCCGTGTAGGAACGCCGTGCCCCTCGTGCCCCCCTCCCAGATGGAATGTTTCCCCCCTCTCAGGGGCCAGTTGTTGCCGTGGCTGAAGATCTCGGCTCCATTCTGGCAGCATGTAACATGCAGTATACACACAATGAAAAGTCATATTCCAGTTTGATCGAAACCTTCTGGAAATGTGACTGAAATAAGGAACTGTGCACAGTCAAGGTCAGCATTGTGTTTTTTGTATCGCGGTATGTTCATATCTGTTTTCTCTCCACCCCAAAACGTATAGCATTTACCTGAGTATAGCATTTACCTGTGTATAGCATTTACCTGTGTATAGCATTGACCTGTGTATAGCATTGACCTGTGTATTGCATTTACCTGTGTATAGCATGTACCTATGTATAGCTTTTACCTGAGTATGGCATTTACCGAAGTATAGCATTTACCGAAGTATAGCATTTGCCTAAATATAGCATTTACGTAAGTACAGCATTTACCAGAGTACAGCATTTACCTGAGTACAGCATTTACCTGAGTATAGCATTTACCTAAGTACAGCATTTGCCTAGGTACAGCATTTACCGAAGTATAGCATTTACCGAAGTACAGCATTTACCTACCTACAGCGTTTACCTATGTATAGCATATACCTACGTATGGCATTTACGTCGCTACATAAGTGCAATAATCTTGCACGCGACGTCAAACCCATTTCACCTCACCTCACCATTGTAGAATGTTTGACGTTCTTGATGTGAATCGTCTGGAACGTTGAGTTTCCGTCATAACGGAGTCTGGACTAACGAGGGTTCGCGGTACTAATTGCCGAAACAAGTGTAAGAGAAGTGTATAAGACACTACAGAAATATGCAACTCACATCCGTCGTCAAGAGAAACAGTGTGTTGTCATAGAGACCGGTTTGTTTGAGAGCAGCGGTTACGTTGCCAATCGCTTCATCGAGAGCAGAGACCATTCCTGATGGATACAACAATAACATATAAAGAGTTCAGTGGACAAGACGTCTCTTTAATTGAAATTGCCTGGAACGTCATTAAAATAGTGAACTTCCATTGCTGTATGTTAAACATATTTTGGGGACGTCATGTCATACAACTAATTGAACAAGTAGTCTAAATATGTCATATCTTCCCTAAACGCCATACCAATGCCTCGCAGACCATTGCAGTGATCAATCATTGAAATGATAGAGCATTTACGGAACATGATACGTACCGCTGAAAACCCGCCTTCCTTCGTTGTTAACATTCTTGTACAGATTAACATAGCGTTCCGGAGCCTGTAAAACATGGGAAGAGAATCACAATTAACGCTTTGTGGGATGGTGTTAACCATTCCTGCTGTTATCAAACAGATAATAATAGTGACACACATAGCACCCATGTCCATCTTGTATCAGAATGTCTTCAGACTTGATGCCAAGTGATGGGGTCCCTTCGGGGAAGTCTGTTGGTTCAGAGCTGTGTTATGTGCCTTCCTGGGCTCTACTGCTTACACGTCCGTCTCGTGTGGCCTTATACCAGATAGAGTGCCTTGAGATTAGAATTTAAATATGCAAGTTTCGTCAAAACAGCTCCTCAGCAGTTACCGTGGATCACTGGATACTTGATCAGAAGTAATCTGTCAAGGACGCACGAAGAACGTGGAGGGGATACACACGAAATCTTTAGCTTGATTTGTGAATGTGACATTCAAAATACAGTCACTTACAGAGTAGAAGGGTGTCTGATGTTTCAGTACCTGTGTGTCTGTCTGTGTACCTGTGTGTCTGTGTCATTGTACCTGTGTGCGTGTGTGTCAGTGTACATGTGTGTCTATGTCAGTGTACCTGTGTGTCTGTGTCAGTGTACCTGTGTGTCTGTCTGTGTACCTGTGTGTCTGTGTCAGTGTACCTGTGTGTGTGTGTGTCAGTGTACCTGTGTGTCTGTGTCAGTGTACCTGTGTGTCCGTGTCAGTGTACCTGTGTGTGTGTGTCAGTGTACCTGTGTGTGTGTGTCAGTGTACCTGTGTGTCTGTGTCAGTCTACCTGTGTGTCCGTGTCCGTGTCAGTGTACCTGTGTGTGTGTGTCAGTGTACCTGTGTTTCTGTGTCAGTGTACCTGTGTGTCTGTGTCAGTGTACCTGTGTGTGTGTGTGTGTCAGTGTACATGTGTGTCTATGTCAGTGTACCTGTGTGTCCGTGTCAGTATACCTGTGTGTGTGTGTCAGTGTACCTGTGTGTCTGTGTCAGTGTACCTGTGTGTGTGTCTGTGTCAGTGTACCTGTGTGTCTATGTCAGTGTACCTGTGTGTGTGTGTGTCAGTGTACCTGTGTGTCTGTGTCAGTGTACCTGTGTGTCTGTGTCAGTGTACATGTGTGTCTGTGTCAGCGTACCTGAGTGTCTGTGTCAGTGTACCTGTGTGTGTGTGTCAGTGTACCTGTGTGTCTGTGTCAGTGTACCTGTGTGTCTGTGTCAGTGTACCTGTGTGTCTGTGTCAGTGTACCTGTGTGTCTGTGTCAGTGTACCTGTGTGTCTATGTCAGTGTACCTGTGTGTCTATGTCAGTGTACCTGTGTGTCTGTGTCAGTGTACCTGTGTGTCTGTGTCAGTGTACCTGTGGGTGACACAGTACCTGTGTTGGAGAGTGCACAGACTGGAACGGCAGATAGAGGAACAATGGTCGGCTCTTGTCATGTTTTTCAATAACACTGACAATCTTCTGGGAGTACAGGTTCTGGAAACCAAAGTCGAACTTTGTACGAAAGTGTGTATTAACATAATACCGTTTTGTATGGAGTATCATTAAATAATATATCATATGATTTCCAAAGATGTATGAGCTCTCACTAACTTTGAGATATTGAACAAAAGTACATTAAACTGTAGTCCTGTGTATGACAACAATGAACAATTATTTCGTCATATAAACATTGTATTCGTTGTATATTTCATGTCATCACTTGAGTGACGTCACACACACATACCGCAGAATACTGGCCTTCGTACTGCCACGCAGCTTTCTGGTCATCCCGGAAGTCCAAATATCCTGCTGTAATACAAGCACCGGGGTCAGCGGCAAAGTCCAGACAACTTCGTCGACACTCACACAAGTACATGTTTTGCATAAATGTAGTAATAGTGAACACATGAGATGTTTCACAGACGTTGGATGCTCATTAAAATTACAAGAGGAGGGGGGGCATAAAATTGACTGTCACATTGTTGTGATTGCACTGGTTCATTCATGCCGCTTTCGGCAATATTCCAGCAATATCACGTCCGGGGTGGGGGTGGGGACACCAGCGTGAGTGAGTATGGTTTTCACGCCGCTTTCAGGAATATTCAAGCAATATCACGGTGGGGGACACCAGAAATGGCCTTCACACATTGTTCCCATCGAACCCGGGTCTTCGGGTATCCCACCGACCTCAGAGACCATTCCTAACACCACAATGAAGTATTCAGACTACAGAGCTGAAGGTTGATAAACATGAAGGGTGGCTTATATTATCTTCATCATCTTTCCGTTGAGATATGTCTGTCATAACTTATCACAAACCAACAATCATAAATGACAATCAATAACACAACAATCTTTCAATCATGTATATGTGTGAGTACTTAAACAACAGCAATTTGTTTTCATGCAGGGAATCCCAAGGGGTTTCCCAGGAATTTGGAAGTGGCGATGTTTACGTCATTATGAAAACCCGTCTCGACAAAAAGACATTTGAACGTCAACATGTGTCCTTCACCTCTAGGGTCACGTGACGCGCCTCTCGTCCAATAGAAAAGGCGAATGATGTTTGACCTTCACTTTAAAATCGAGTAGTAACTAAATCTATGTTGTACTTACACAGTTTATGGCTGTAGTAGTCCTCGCGAGAGTTGTAGTAGCCGAAGAAGCTATCGAAGCCTCGGAAGGTGGGCGTGCAGTCCCAGTTGCAGAAGCCGAGATGCCATCTTGGAAACAAGAACCGAAAATTGCGTTTCGTTAAAAAACCGTTGAACACCATTAAAATGCCAAATAGATAAGCAGTACAGAAATTCATAGCTTTTTGTCGATCAAGGTGTTACTTTACTAAAACGCAACAATATGTCACATAATTGTAGAATTACGAAACTCTGGTAAAAGACTGAAAGGATTAATGATGATAATCATTACAATTGCGCGAACATCTTTACAAGTGTTTCAGTAAGGTAACTTATGCGCCAACACTAACTTGCCCACGATGTGAGTTGCATAGCCCAGGCCTTTCAACACTTGAGGCAGAAAGGTGTGGTTCAAAGGGGAACAGACGTTTTGCCACTGCCAGATGACTATGTGCTGCAACAAACAAATGTGCGGATTCAACACGAATCATTCAAGCAAGAGGGAGTTCAACACGAATTATTAAAGCAAGAGGGAGATCAACACGAATCATTCAAGCAAGAGGGAGTTCAACACGAATCATTCAAGGAAGAGGGAGTTCAACACGAATTATTCAAACAAGAGGGAGTTCAACACGAATCATTCAAGCAAGAGCGAGTTCAACACGAATCATTCAAGTAAGAGGGAGTTCAACACGAATCATTCAAGCAAGAGCGAGTTCAACACGAATCATTCAAGTAAGAGGGAGTTCAACACGAATCATTCAAGCAAGAGGGAGTTCAACACGAATTATTCAAGCAAGAGGGAGATCAACACGAATTATTCAAGTAAGAGGGAGTTCAACACGAATCATTCAAGCAAGAGGGAGTTCAACACGAATCATTCAAGCAAGAGGGAGTTCAACACGAATCATTCAAGTAAGAGGGAGTTCAACACGAATTATTCAAGTAAGAGGGAGTTCAACACGAATAATTCAAGCAAGAGGGAGTTCAACACGAATCATTCAAGCAAGAGGGAGTTCAACACGAATCATTCAAGTAAGAGGGAGTTCAACACGAATTATTCAAGCAAGAGGGAGATCAACACGAATTATTCAAGCAAGAGGGAGATCAACACGAATTATTCAAGTAAGAGGGAGTTCAACACGAATCATTCAAGCAAGAGGGAGTTCAACAGGAATCATTCAAGCAAGAGGGAGATCAACACGAATTATTCAAGCAAGAGGGAGATCAACACGAATCATTCAAGTAAGAGGGAGTTCAACACGAATCATTCAAACAAGAGGGAGTTCAACACGAATCATTCAAGCAAGAGGGAGTTCAACACGAATCATTCAAGTAAGAGGGAGTTCAACACGAATTATTCAAGTAAGAGGGAGATGAACACTAATTATTCAAGCAAGAGGGAGTTCAACACGAATCATTCAAACAAGAGGGAGTTCAACACGAATCATTCAAGCAAGAGGGAGTTCAACACGAATCATTCAAGTAAGAGGGAGATCAACACGAATTATTCAAGTAAGAGGGAGATCAACACTAATTATTCAAGCAAGAGGGAGTTCAACACGAATCATTCAAGCAAGAGGGAGTTCAACACGAATCATTCAAGCAAGAGTGAGTTCAACACGAATTATTCAAGTAAGAGGGAGTTCAACACTAATCATTCAAGCAAGAGGGAGATCAACACGAATTATTCAAGCAAGAGGGAGTTCAACACTAATCATTCAAGCAAGAGGGAGTTCAACACGAATAATTCAAGCAAGAGGGAGTTCAACACGAATCATTCAAGCAAGAGGGAGTTCAACACGAATCATTCAATCAAGAATGTGGCAAAGTATTCAGACAGGTCATCGAGCGCGCAAACAAGACACATTAACCTTGTGTGTTTGTGTCTCTTATTTATTCGTTGTAAGCATCCTTCTTGTCCAAATTTTATATTTTCTTACGCTTTTGGGTAATTCAAATGCGTGTAACCACAAGCTAAGTGAAACTTCCTACCTGAAGACCCACTTTGAAAGGATATACACCTGTCATGAAAGCATTGCGAGATCTGAAACACGAGGAGTAACACATTCAGAAACAAATTACCAACTACTGGTGCTGCTGTTGCTATTACTACTGCTACATGTATTACTACTAGCGCTACTGCAACTCCAGATGCTACTTTTTGTTTGTTTTTTGGGGTTTAACGCCGCACTCAGCAATATTCCAGCTATATGACGGCGGTCTGTATATAGTCGAGTCAGGACCAGACAATCCAGCGATTGATATCATGAGCATCGATACACGCAATTGGGATCGATGACATGCATCAACCAAGTCAGCGAGCCTGACCACCCGATCCCGTTAGTCGTCTCTTACGACATGCATAGTCGCCTTTCAGGGCAAGCATGGGTTGCTGAAGACCTTGTACTGCTGCGACTACCGCTGCTGCTACCACTACCACTACCGCTACTAATACTGATGCTACTTGTACTGCTACTACTGTTGCTGCTGCTACTAATACTACTACTGCTGCTACTACTACTACCATCACTACTACTACCTCTACTACTGCCACTAATACTACCACTACTACTGTTACTACTACTGTTGCTAATACTGCAACTGCTTCTACTACTGCTACTACTACCACTACTACTACTACTGCTACTACTACTACTGTTACTACTACTACTACAACTACTGTTACTACTACTGTTACTACTACAACTACTGTTACTACTACTGTTACTACTACTGTTACTACTACAAGTACTGTTACTACTACAGTTACTACTACAACTACTGTTACTACTACTGTTACTACTACTATTACTACTACTGTTACTACTACAACTACTGTTACTACTACTGTTACTACTACAACTACTGTCACTACTGTCACTGCTACTGTTACTGCTACTGTTACTACTACTGTTACTACTACTGTTACTACTACTGTTACTCCTACTGTTACTACTACTGTTACTACTACTGTTACTACTACTGTTACTACTACAAGTACTGTTACTACTACAGTTACTACTACAACTACTGTTACTGCTACTGTTACTACTACTGTTACTACTACTGTTACTACTACTGTTACTCCTACTGTTACTACTACTGTTACTACTACTGTTACTACTACTGTTACTACTACAACTACTGTTAGTACTACTGTTACTACTACAACTACTGTTAGTACTACTGTTACTACTACAACTACTGTTACTACTACTGTTACTACTACAACTACTGTCACTACTGTCACTGCTACTGTTACTACTACTGTTACTGCTACTGTTACTACTACTGTTACTACTACTGTTACTCCTACTGTTACTACTACTGTTACTACTACAACTACTGTTAGTACTACTGTTACTACTACAACTACTGTTAGTACTACTGTTACTACTACAACTACTGTTAGTACTACTGTTACTACTACAACTACTGTTAGTACTACTGTTACTACTACAACTACTGTTACTACTACTGTTACTACTACAACTACTGTTAGTACTACTGTTACTACTACAACTACTGTTACTACTACTGTTACTACTACAACTACTGTTACTACTACTACTACTACGACTGTTACTACTACGACTGTTACTACTACTGTCACTACTACTGCTACTCCTGCTGCTACTGCTTCTGCTTTTGCTACTAAAGTTGCCTCCTTTAGACTTGCCATAAATCTATGATTGTGGGTTCAAATCCAAGATTTGACCCAACTTAGTTTCAAGGCGTGTCAATGATATAATGACAGCCAGTTCAAGACAGGGTAGCCCAAAATAACTGTCAATAGAGTTTGGCAAGCTTTTTGTTTGTGCTTTTTCTACACTCATTCTTCGTTAGAGTTTTCACTCACGCAATTACCCAACCACCCATTCACTAACTCACTCACTAACTCTATTGCTATTGCCCCCACTGCTCCCAATTTAATAGAGTTATAAAGAATAATTATAACAGTAATCATGGAGTATATTTTTACCATGATATCGTCGATGCCCTATAGAAAAGGCGAGGTGAGTTGAAATTGTGTTTAACGTCGCGTCCAAGATTATTGCACTTATATAGCGCCGTGCATGTGTGTGTGTGCGTGTGTGTGTGGCTGCTTGAAATAGTCCGTACTGATGCCGCCTTATAGTGCTAGCTCACTGAGATACCATGTCGCAGTTTAACATGAATACCCCACTCACACACAGCATACTGACTCCGAGCCGACCAGTCCTTGTTTTAGCCCCTTAATGCCGAGGGCCAGACAGGGTAACAACAAGTACCATCTTTTAACGTCTTTTGGTATGAACCCCGGACCTTATACCGTTATAGAAAAAAATTATAACAGTAATCATGGAGGATATTTTAACAATGACATCATCGATGCCATAAAGCAACATACGGACTACAGACAGGCTGGACGTAGGAACTGTTGAGGATGACCCCTTCTCTGGCCAGCTTGTCTATGTTTGGGGAGAGGATGTCAGGGTTCCTAAAGCCAACGTCATTCCAGCCTGAAATACAACACGCTGACAATATGGAGGATACCTAACAAAATTGAATACGATATTAATTACTACGACCAACACGCAACACACCTCTAAACAAACCACAGGGGCGGTCGGGTAACCTAGTGGTTAAAGCGTTCTCTCGTCACGTCGAAGACCCGGGTTCGATTCCCGACACGGGTACAATGTGTGAAGCCCATTTCTGGTGTCCCTCGTCGTGACATTGCTGGAATATTGCTATACGCTGCTTAAAACATACTCACTCACTCAGTAAACAGTCCCCAGTTCAAACTTACACATAACAACCCCAGTTTCCTGTTACACTCTGTAATGCATATGCGGATAGGACGGACCTGTTGAAAGAGCTTAAGGGCTGACCTGTGGCAAAGGCCATCCATAATATTTGGTTTCATTCTCATGTTCAGCGTCAAAAATATAAATTTAAACACATTCTTCACATCAAAAGCAAAGCTTTAAAAACGTTTTTTTGGTAATCATGTAGGGGACATTTCACAATTGCACGAACCAGTGACAAGAACTATGTCCGATGCAATTCCCTATTTTGACAGGTACCAAACGTTCCCGTGTTGTTTTTAAGCTGAACGTTTGACTTGCCTTTGCATGTGTGTGCAACGGGTACCACCGGTGGGGCGTTATACAGCTGGCATATTGCTGAGAAAGGCGTTAAACAATAAACAAATAAGGAAACGTGTCCGCAGGATTGATATACTTCAGGAAACATCTCTAAAATCTCGCGGACAAGACGTCAATAACATGTGATCGCCATAACAGCTGTTACGTTGTTTAATCGAGATGGCGTTTCGCCATGCATCACATGGTGAGCCTTCAATGTGAAATTGTACATCCAAACGTTGATAAAAGCTCCAATAAATAATTGAAATGCAAGATGTATTGCAGTCTTAATGAGGTTTATCACAGCAAATAATGTGAACATAGGATCGATGGATCTTCGACAAGCGTGCACACATTGTCAGATTTCTAGACTAACGCTTAGTCTCTGAAAATATATAACTTGGAGGGTACAATCAGTGATATGATTACAGTAAGGGCTGGGCAGAAGGGCAAATGATTATGGTTCAGGAGCTGCGAGAGAGTATCGTATTAATTCAGCATGACATTAATCATCATCAGTCCAGCTTACCTAGGTCGTCAGCTACGATGAACACAATGTTGGGGCGCTGTGGAGATGAAGAAGAGGTGCTCGTTGTAGCCCACAGCAACACAGCCAATACTGCTATTCCGCGACACGCCATTGTTGTGAACAGATCTCCGATACTGTGCGAGAAACAGCTGGTATTAGCGGTATAATATGCAAAGAACGCCTGTGTGTGAAGCGCTGTAACGCCTCCTACAGCTTACTGATGCTGTAGTGTGTCTTTATAAAGATATTGATCATTGATGGTCAGACTGTATCAGGTTTGACATACTTATACCTATCTATATCAACGTGCACAGATACGTGCAACGTGGTGCAGGTCACACTATCAGGACATGCAAATGTAATGCGCTGTGCATGACAAGATAGTGTCAGTCGGTCAGTGAAAAGGATTTAGGTGCGTGATAATTTCACCAATAAATGATATATTTTTGTCGGTTGAAGTTTGAAGTAGTGTGTCTTTATAAAGATATTGATCATTGATGGTCAGACTGTATCAGGTTTGACATACTTATACCTATCTATATCAACGTGCACAGATACGTGCAACGTGGTGCAGGTCACACTATCAGGACATGCAAATGTAATGCGCTGTGCATGACAAGATAGTGTCAGTCGGTCAGTGAAAAGGATTTAGGTGCGTGATAATTTCACCAATAAATGATATATTTTTTCGGTTGAAGTTTGAAGTAGTGTGTCTTTATAAAGATATTGATCATTGATGGTCAGACTGTATCAGGTTTGACATACTTATACCTATCTATATCAACGTGCACAGATACGTGCAACGTGGTGCAGGTCACACTATCAGGACATGCAAATGTAATGCGCTGTGCATGACAAGATAGTGTCAGTCGGTCAGTGAAAAGGATTTAGGTGCGTGATAATTTCACCAATAAATGATATATTTTTTCGGTTGAAGTTTGAAGTAGTGTGTCTTTATAAAGATATTGATCATTGATGGTCAGACTGTATCAGGTTTGACATACTTATACCTATCTATATCAACGTGCACAGATACGTGCAACGTGGTGCAGGTCACACTATCAGGACATGCAAATGTAATGCGCTGTGCATGACAAGATAGTGTCAGTCGGTCAGTGAAAAGGATTTAGGTGCGTGATAATTTCACCAATAAATGATATATTTTTTCGGTTGAAGTTTGAAGTAGTGTGTCTTTAAAAAGATATTGATCATTGATGGTCAGACTGTATCAGGTTTGACATACTTATACCTATCTATATCAACGTGCACAGATACGTGCAACGTGGTGCAGGTCACACTATCAGGACATGCAAATGTAATGCGCTTTTCATGACAAGATAGTGTCAGTCGGTCAGTGAAAAGGATTTAGGTGCGTGATAATTTCACCAATAAATGATATATTTTTGTCGGTTGAAGTTTGAAGTAGTGTGTCTTTATAAAGATATTGATCATTGATGGTCAGACTGTATCAGGTTTGACATACTTATACCTATCTATATCAACGTGCACAGATACGTGCAACGTGGTGCAGGTCACACTATCAGGACATGCAAATGTAATGCGCTTTTCATGACAAGATAGTGTCAGTCGGTCAGTGAAAAGGATTTAGGTGCGTGATAATTTCACCAATAAATGATATATTTTTTCGGTTGAAGTTTGAAGTAGTGTGTCTTTATAAAGATATTGATCATTGATGGTCAGACTGTATCAGGTTTGACATACTTATACCTATCTGTATCAACGTGCAGGTCGTCTTATCAGGAAATGGGAATTTAATGCTCTGTGCATGACAAGATAGTGTCAGTCGGTCAGTGAAAAGGATTTAGGTGCGTGATAATTTCACCAATAAATGATATTTTTTTCGGTTGAAGTTTGAATGAGAGGGAAATAGTTTTCTAGTTTATTCTATCATGCAGTTTTTTATTGTACAATAAACAACGACCATGTATCGTTTATTTTTTTATATGAAATATCAATATTATGTACAGCCTCTTCAAGGATGGTAATAAAATTTAAAAGCTTTAAATGTATTTTCACGTATTTAAATAATGATGATTCTCTGAATAGAATCTGACCTCGTCAATGTCTGACAAGTCAATTTTATTAAAAGGGCTGGGGGCGGGGGATCTATTTGGTCTTTCCCGCATATTCTCATAATTTGCACGTCAATAACTGTACCTTTTCTCCCAATACCGATTGTCATATCTCTCCCGCTTTTGGATACGATCGTTCTGCCATTGCGTTTATCTACGTTGCCCGGCTACATCTACGGGGAACAACTCGTTGGACAATTCCCTCTTAAAAGTAACGTCGTCCAAAGTTGCGAGCGCATGTTCAAATCTCCAGAAATGACGTCATGGTAGAACAATGTTTTATCATGAAATGAACCACACTGCGTCCCTCATGGTTTATTCTCCCTGCATTGTTTTATTGTACCATAAACAGCTCCCACTCCCACTCCCACTCCCACTCCCACTCCCACTCCTACACCTACAGTTACTATACATGGGTTTGGCTTTATCCAGTAACTGGTACACTTGGAGGCTAAACATGACGTGCACATGTATGGATATGCTTTATGTTTTGTGTTATTTTGTTTGTTTCATGTGTTCCAGGTGAACACCCGTCATGAGAATGGGGTTTGTCTTTGGCTGGTGAGTTTTATGGCATGTTATGCAATGTCCTTCCTGCTCATCGAAGTTTCAACTACCCATGACCAGTTCCATTGGTCGGAGAGCCGCTATAATACATGAGGTCAGTGGTGCGGCTGCAGAGGCGTTATAACACTCTCATGTGTAATAACCTTGGCTGCAGAGGCGTTATAACACTCTCATATGTAATAACCTTGGCTGCAGAGGCGTTATAACACTCTCATATGTAATAACCTTGGCTGCAGAGGCGTTATAACACTCTCATATGTAATAACCTTGGCTGCAGAGGCGTTATAACACTCTCATATGTAATAACCTTGGCTGCAGAGCCGTTATAACACTCTCATGTGTAATAACCTTGGCTGCAGAGCCGTTATAACACTCTCATGTGTAATAACCTTGGCTGCAGAGCCGTTATAACACTCTCATATGTAATAACCTTGGCTGCAGAGCCGTTATAACACTCTCATATGTAATAACCTTGGCTGCAGAGCCGTTATAATAGTCTCATATGTAATAACGTTGGCTACAGAGCCGTTATAACACTCATATGTAAATATTATGTTGGCTACAGAGCCAATATAACACTCTCATATGTAATTATATTGGGTATGACGGTGTATTCCTGGGTATTTCTTGGTATTGCGTTTTATTCCTGAGTATAGCGGCGTATTCCTTGGTTTGATTGGGTATTCCTTGGTATTGCGGGGTATTCCGAGGCTGTGAGAGCAGCACATGCTTGCCCTTAGAGCCGACTATTATGATAATCAGATGGTCACGGTTTGTGAGTAGGTCTAAGGCACTGCAATGTGAGGAGTTGAATCTGTCAGGAATGCCGGACACCTAGGACCGGGGGTGAATCCCAGTTCGTCCTGATAGTTTTGAGGTTTGTCAGCGCCATACCGATGAGTTTCACTTCTTATCAATTCCCAGATTTTGTAATAAGTAACTTGTGTGAAACTGGGACGCTGTCTGTGTAATAGTAAATGCAAGATATATATGATTAATCAAATCTTCCTCAGCTGATACAGGTTGTCGTGTTTTAGGGATATGAATCTAATTGGTTGATGCATGTCATCGTATCACAACTGCATAGATCAAAACTCATGGGGTAATTATAATCACTGGACTGTCTGGTCCAAATTGATTGTATACAGACTGCCACTATATGGTTGTAATATTGTTGTGTGGCGTCAATCAACAAACATGATGTAAGTATTTATGAGTAACCTTGATCTCCAGTGTCATCTTATTAGGTCAGAAATATTCCCCTGGAGGTAAACTGGAAGTACATCAGACGAGAAATGGTCCATATGATATTTTGAACAGTGAAACAAAGGGCCAACAGTACATGCAAAATAAGTGAGCGAGTAGGTTTTTACGCCGCTTTGGGCAATATTCCAGCAATATCACGACCGGGGACACCAATTAAGGCTTCACATCGTACCCATGTGGGGAATGGAACCCGGGTCTTCGGCGTGACGAGCAAACGATTTAACCACTCGGCGACCCCACCGCCCAGAAGCCTCCGTGCAGAAACGTGTGTCAGCTTCATGTATTCAGTGGTTTATTGAACATGTTCCTAGATTTACTAAGGTGATCAAAGTAACTGATGGCTCTAGTGGTTGGACAAACCTTTTATTAATGTGTCAATCTATTGTGAGATGTAAACATTATGACAGGGTCACTTCAAATAAAGCTCTGTCCTTGGGCCACAGCACGTGACAAGATAGGCCAATCAGGGCCGAGTATGGTGAACGGGTCGTCCGTGCAGCATGTGCAGATCAGCCTCGTCTTCCGTCCTGTGTGGTCGATCTGAAAAAGTATTTTGCGTGCCGGCGGGCAGCTTTCCTTGTTGACACTTACATTTGGTGACAGGTGGAGAACGTTTGAAGGTACAACAAATGAAAATCTAACGTGTAAGTCAAAAAATGACTTTGTATTCCATTTTCATGACAGTTTTTGTTGAGTGTGCCACACGGAGTCAGGCCAGCATGCCCGACCCAGAGGGGGAGAATTCGGGTGGCTCTGGGAACCCCAAACAGCTTCCACTGTCGGGGGAGGTTTTAATATGCCAGTTAATTACCCCAAGCAAATGACATTTTCTGCATACATCGAGAACGTTTAGGAAATGGATTTGGTTTGAGTTTAAGACAGAACTTCATGGACGTGTCCTTATTTTACCACCAAACATTCGAGAAGTATTTTATAGAAGTTGACAGAACTGTTGTACGTACAAGACGCAGCTACTGATTTCCATACTAAAAAAAAGCTTCTCAAGCCACTGATGAATTTGGAATCAACATTTCTATGATGTTCTGTAGTCCAAATCTGTTAAAGATGATTTACAAGTAATTTTATAGTATTAATTAACTGACTATAAAAGTCCAGTTTACCACCCTTGGTGAGTTGGTAACATTGATCAGTGAATACAAATGCAGCAGTGTCATAATGTATATATTATAAAGTGTATTTCATTTCAGTTACTATTTAAATGCCTAGGTCTTGGTATTAGTTCAAGCACTTAACCTGACATGAAATCTTTGGTGGGCATTTAGAAGTTGGAAGAACATGAATGCATGGCCCTTTTTATGGATAATAACTTCTTTTGTACGACGTACAGAGCTACCTCTTGCTCCTTCGTCAGGTAAATGCTTGATGAGGGAGCAAAAAGTAGGTCTGAAACTTTCATTCAAACAGTAAAAGAAGTTGCTATCCCTATAAAGGTGTTAATGTATTTAATCTAACCTGCCGCACTGTTACAACAGCAGTTGCCATTGTGTTTGTCTGCACTATTGTTTCTCTGGGCTTTGGGCGACAGGGTGACTCGTCAGCTCACTTGTACACTTTCATTGGAGTCTCTTGGGTGCAAGTGGATATATTAAAATTGCAACAATGTATTCCTTGCGACCGACAATATTATCTTTTTCAACCGTCTGAAGCAGTTTTTTCCTGAAATCTTTCGATGACAATTTATTTTATCCGGTAAAATGCTAGCCATCAAAGAGTCTGTCCCTTACTAGGTCTGCTAAAATGCTTCACATATGTAAGTTTATAATTGCTCTTTTCAAAAAGCATTCTCAAGTGTGTGTGTTACTTATCGTGTACACATATTATATCTATCTACCTTTAAATAAATTGAAATTGTTTACCTAACATGGGGACCAGTTCGATGATGGAAAAAACTCTTGTGCAGTGTGTGATATGGAATGGCAGATCAAACCGAACTTTTTGTTGACATTTATGTAATGTTCCTTTGGACTGATATTTACCTTCAGGTGGGTGACCATGGTAATTACATACCTGGGGTAACTGAAGTCATTGGGGTCGGTGCCATACACACGGTGAGTTATTTCTTGCATGTTGTGCACTCAAGTTATGATTAAATGTGATCAATTTCATAGATAACCTGTTTGTCAGTATATATTATGTCTAATCTTGTGTACGGAGGCACAGGTGACCAAATCAATGACGTCGCAATTCAATGTACTGAGTTGCTTCCCTTGGACACGTCAGAATCCTATGACAGTGGGTTATGGTTCTTGGTTTTTGAGCATGTACCCAAAGTGGTAAATGTCTAAGATCTGCATCACTTCAGGCTTTCCTCACACATTTAGCCGACACGGCATGATATGATCGTTAATAGGTGGATACATCGATATGTAAAGGTAACTAGTTAGTTACTATAATCAATAATTATTATGTGATCATATAAGATTCTAACCGTAATGTTGTATGTTGCATAACTTAACTCTGTAATTATTTCCACAGGGCCTTTCATCAGTCTTCCGAGCCATCTGCTATGATGAAACTATCATCTTAAGAACTTCAACCTGCATTTGGATTCCATCAACAAACTACTCTGATTACTCTGAATACTGTACACGGATTTAGGGACCAGTGAAGATCCGGGGTAGAATAGGTCTTCAGCAACCCATGTTGCTGTAAATGGCGACGGGTGGTCAGGCTCGCGGACTTGGTTGATGAATGACATCGTATCCCATTGCGATTGGATCAATGCTTAAGATGTCAATCACTGGATTGTCTGGTCCAGACACGATTTTTTACAGACCTCCCTCATATAGCTGGAATATTGCGGTTTTAAACAACAAACCAACACGGATTTAGGCAGGATGCATGTCTTACACCTAATCCCAATTTGAGCAAAGGTAACGTGGAGTATGACGTCTCTGAAACTTTCATTTCTTTAAGGATAGTAGAAATCAATTTTGGTTTCTCAAATGAGAGGTGATGGCGAAGGACTCCCGGAAATAATGGGTACTGAAGCTGTCCAGAATTAACCTGTTCCTGGTGTTATGAGTGACGTTGTATATTTGTGTGGTTCACAAGGGGTCCAGTTTGGGTGGTCGGCGTCATGCTTGATTGACTGGGTAACTGATTGGTGTGTGCTGAAGTAGATAGCTTACTTGGAAATTTGTTTACTATATGAGGGCAAGTTATCGAACAGAAATGGGGGAGGGAGAAATATGGCTTAACTGAACGAGGGCAGTTCAGTCCGGAGACAAAGTTAGGTCATGAAGGAGGAAACTGGAACAATGTGAAATGGAATTCATTGGGAATATGATGTGACTATTACCTACATTGCTTTGCTCAGATGTGTCCCCAATGATTCGGAGTTGGTTTTGTCACTGGTCACACGTATGGAATTATTCTATTCTCACCGAGGCCCAAGTTTTAGCACATCCAACGAGCTCAGAAAAATGGATTTTGTGGGTGTACGTTTGCATAATGATTGCAAATAGACAGCTTTGGTTACTTTAAATATAGAAATATCTTGTGTAGTTGAGCAGAATAAATGTTGTGTGCCAGCCGCCAGTCTTCTTTGTTTTCCATCACACTACCCGGAACCGCCCATATAGCTGTAATATTGCTGAGTGCTGCGATAAGAGGCGACTGAAGGGATTGCTCGGTTGATACATGTCAATCATTAAAGCCTGTCACTGGATTGTATGGTGCAGACTGCCGTCATCCCTGAGGACAATAAAAGACCGCAAAAGCAATTTCAAGCTAGCAATTATCATTGGTTATGCAGTGTCTTTTTGCAACTGAATATGTCTCAGCAGCATATTCATAAATCGTCCACCATTACATAATGTTTGCATCTAACTTTCAGTTTGTAAATGTCCATTATATTGGCTCGACATCTTCATGTGATCTTGAGGCAGATGCAGGAGCAACATAAAGACACTGGATAACCAATGATAATTGCTAGCTTGAAATTGCTTTTGCGGTCTTTCATTGTGCAACATCTGTGATGTCAAACTCAGCAATATTCCAGCTATGACAGACAATCCAGTGATTGACGCAACTGCTGGAAATGCCCACCCAGTATGGTTTTACACTGATTTTAGCAATGTCACGGCGGGGGACACACATGATTTGTTGATATACCAAAACAAGTGAGAAAATATTCAACTTTAATCCAGATATGTTAATACAAGGTCATATTCATGGAGGATAGCACTCACATCATTGAAAAGCAATATTTAGGTAGAGAATGATGATCAAAATGGCATGTCCCAACATTGTAACTGTTGACATTTAATTTCAAGCAGGAATAACTTCAAATTCGATTGTGCAAGGAGCAAAACATTGAACCTTCAAAAGATACATACCAAATACATCTTGCTATACTTCCGATACCTGTTCCACATTTGGCACCACTGATCTAACTGCAGAGGTTTTACTAGTTCTGAAGTCGCCACACACATTGCCCAAATGTCGAGTCTGGACCAGACAATCCTGTGATTGACATCATGAGCATTGATGACATGCATCAACCGAGTCTGACCACCTGATCCCGTCAGTCGCCTCTTGCGACAAGCAGAGTCAGCTTTTACCGCAAGCATGGGTTGCTGAAGACCTATTCTATCCCGGATCTTCACGGGTCCTGTCTGCTCTGTGATAGATTACAAACATAATACCTGAGAGGCTGCTCTTAACACATAAATCAGTTACATCAGAACCTGTCAGCTTAATGTGGGAGTAAAGCCCGAAGTGATGCAGGTCTTAGATGCATACCCATGAACACAGGTATGTTGCTGACTGATCTGGAAACAATAGGGGTGCCCCAAAGAAACATAATTTATCAAATATGAAACATCCACTGCCAGTGTGTTTTCATAAGAACTGATTAATGCAAAGTCACTGCAGGACCTACGACAGGGCATTAGCCCATTCTGAAACAATTTCAGACAAAACATACATTTAGTGTAGCAAAGTGGCCAGATGATCCACTGCAAATAATTAATAATGGGTCCTTGTTTAGAAAATTTATTTTTGGTGCAAAATGCTATCACTTATTATTGGTGGGATAAAAAAAAGAGTCAAATTCAGATTTAAAACAAAGTGTGGCCCAATTCAATTATCACAAATTCTCTGAGGAGAAATTTAAACATGAGTAAACCTCATGAGGGTCATATTACTTGGTATTCTGGGGATGGCCTGGGCCTTTAGAAAAAAAAGTGTATATTGTCTGGAAAAAGGCTTCAAACAATAAATTATGCTCAGATTGTCAAAACAGAAAATTGTCTGCCACAAAAAATACATAGTTCCAAGATGTTTTTAAAAAAAAAGATTTAGGCACAGAGTTTTCATTGAAAAAATATATCTGGTTTTACAGCTGAAGCTTAAAAAGTATCTAGTCTGCACACAGAATATCAAATGGTCAGTCCCTGTGTGGTCCGGTTTCACAAGACTTCTTGCAGCATCCTTCAACACATCTTCCTGAAGCAAGGGAGTTAACTCACTATAAAAGTCTTTTACCAGTAATATCCCTTCCATTGGCCAATGAGATTCCACCTCTCATATCATTTGCTTAAATATATTGTCGGCAGCAAGTCAAAACGATCTTATTGATAATCAAGATTTATACCCAATGAAACGGGTCTTACCTCCAGTTAGGTCGCCCCATGCCCATATTAGGCATTCCTGTACATGGACAGATTACAGAGGAGCTCCTAGGTTACTTTATCATATCTCAGTAAATAAATGTCAGGATATCTGACCATAAATCAACTTTCCTGTTCCCTGTGCATACAGAACAAGTGGTTGACAGAATAAGTCAAAGAGACCAAAATGTCTCCTGCTCATGAGCTTGAAAATGAACCTACCGATATGATTAACTGAATGAGAAGACTTATCGTGGTTACAGACCAACACTAAAAGCTGACAGGGGACGGAGGTCCTTATGCAACCATTGAGACAGTACTAATCACATCGCTTACAACCAACACTTTTCTCACTCAGCCCAGACAGCAGCAGTCACGCCGCAGTTCCGGCTTCTGCCAGCAGATGGAACGATGAAGTGTTGCACACTCTAGTGAAGAAGTTATTCTCCATTGATGACCCAGACTTCTTGTGATTCCAGCAACTCCACAAATCCAATATCCAGCACCAGTTGGAACTCTGCTGTAGGTGCCATCTACTTCCTATATTACCCCGATCCACAGTGAAGCCTTCCTATATTACCCTGATTCACAGTGAAGCCTTCCTATATTACCCCGATCCACAGTGAACCCTCCCCATATAACCCCAATATAATCCAGTGAAGCCTCCCTATATTACCCCGATCCACAGTGAAGCCTTCCTATATTACCCCGATCCCCAGTGAAGCCTTCCTATATTACCCCGATCCACAGTGAAGCCTTCCTATATTACCCCGATCCACAGTGAAGCTTTCCTATATTACCCCGATCCACAGTGAAGCTTTCCTATATTACCCCGATCTACAGTGAAGCCTTCCTATATTACCCCGATCCACAGTGAAGCCTTCCTATATTACCCCGATCCACAGTGAAGCCTTCCTATATTACCCCGATCTACAGTGAAGCCTTCCTATATTACCCTGATTCACAGTGAACCCTCCCTATATTACCCCCGATCCACAGTGAACCCTCCCTATATTACCCTGATTCACAGTGAACCCTCCCTATATTACCCCAATCCACAGTGAAGCCTCCCTATATTACCCCGATCCACAGTGAAGCCTCCCTATATTACCCCGATCCACAGTGAAGCCTCCCTATATTACCCCGATCCACAGTGAAGCCTATATGACGGCGGTCTGTAAATAATCGAGTCTGGACCAGACAATCCAGTGATTGACATCACGAGCATCGATCCACGCAATCGGGATTGGGATCAATGACATGCATCAACCAAGTCAGCGAGCCTGACCACCCGATCCCCATAGTCGCTTTTTACGGCAAGTACAGGTTGCTGAAGACCTATTCTACCCCAGAATCTTCACGTGTCCATCCATCAGTGAAGACATGATCCATGTATTGGGCCGAGTTCTTTATTGCACAGCTTGATCTCGTGGTTACAACGGTCCTGTCAACATTATCACATCCAATATAAAATACTCTATTCCAACTGTAACTGACATACATGTATAGCTGGATGCACATCACTCTGTACAGGACATACAAAATAGCTTAATAGCAAAATAACATTACAACATACAAAACATTAACAAAAGGTAAAGGGCAAGTGACTGCTTAATTACAACAGAGATATTAACAAAATCTTTTGTACTGTACCTTACCATAATTATCATGAATTAAATGACAGCAATATACACAACACTTATAATTACCAACTATGGGCTGAACCACGTGTTCCCACAAGCAGGTATTAACCTGGTCGCCACTGCCGTATCCAACCTACAGTATAGCAAATACACCAAATACAATAATTAACTGCATAGACAAAACTGCCAAACATTTACTATCAACAGTTATTATGTACCCAACTACACACTTGAAATGTTCCAAGTTAAGTTATTACCAAATTGCATGAACAACAATTATACTACTGTTATAAAGTGTAAAACAATACAACATTTTTTATCCATATTTTATACTTTTCTAAAACAAACTAAACTAAACTAACCTGAAGTTTTCACACGCCCTGCAAGAAAGAAATAGGTGTTCCCACTCCTGATGTCACCAGCCAAGTGATCATGCATGAAGCATGCTCACAGCACGAAAACCATGTGCATTGCCAAACCAATCAAACTGGTTCTACTTGATTTACAGAAACTTGTAGCCAATCAAATGTGATGACACGCTTCTTGTTTAGAAATGACACCTTTCAATAACCATGAGGCTCTCTATGGCCTGGGGGCCCTTATTGGGTTGTGGGAAGTATTCATTTATCTTGGAAATACTAAAATAATCATGCTGAACTTAAAATCCACCACCAAATAACTTCAAATAATATTATTCTCAACTCTGCTACATATATTACCCTGATCCAGTGAAGCCTCCCTATATTACCCTGATCCACAGTGAAGCCTCCCTATATTACCCTGATCCACAGTGAAGCCTCCCTACATAACCCCCGATCCACAGTGAAGCCTCCCTATATTATCCCCGATCCACAGTGAAGCCTCCCTATATTACCCCGATCCACAGTGGAGCCTCCCTATATTAACCCAATCCACAGTGAAGCCTCCCTATATTACCCTGATCCAGTGAAGCCTCCCTATATTACCCTGATCCAGTGAAGTCACGCACACAAGCACACACACAACACACGCACGCCATACGCACGCACACACACATAAACACACACGCGCGCGCACACACACACACACATACAACACACACGCACGCACACAACACACACGCGCACACACACACGCGCACGCACACATACAACACACACACACATACAACACACACACAACACACACATACAACACGCACGCACACACACACATACAACACACACACACACAACACACACGCACACACATACGAGGCGTGTTCATTAAAGATTTCCCCTGACCCACTTCCGATGGAC